CCAAGGCGCATTCCTTATCCGGCTCCCGCCCCCATCTCCCCATCACCCGCCCGGCGCTCGGGCACAAGTGTATCCCCACCCTTGGTACCAGCTGGTGAGGGGATCTCTCGGACGAGCGGCACAATCACCTTGAGTCTCCCTCTCTCTCTCACATACTTTCTCTCTCTGCCTCACATTCCGCACAGACCAATCGACCAATCCCAGTGCCGTTGACAAGAGCGCGGAGCAGTCTGCTGAGCGCTGACCCGCCCGTCTCCACCCTTCTCATCCCAGTGTGGACGTTGCCTTCCAATCAAAGAGAACTTCCTGGAGCCGGCAAGGTGTCCCACTACACCCTGCATTCTCTAGCTCTGTGAATTGACTGATCGATTGATTAGTAGACGTCTGAATTCAACCTCCCCAACACTGACTGCCAGGTCAGCCCTGGGCTTGTTTCTGGCCACACAAAGATGAGGCGGCCATGGGGTGCCTGGGGTGAGAGGTGGCTGGCTTTCCCCTGCCAGACACCCTAAACTTCTGGGACAGAGAGGGGAATTCTGCCAAATGAAACGGCAGCCAAGCTCCCTGAGATCCGTTCTGTCCTATCCTACCACCACTCACTGTTTCTCAAAGTGTTTTTCCTCAGCAGCTGGCAGGATGGGGCACATACTCCCCAGCTCGGATGGAGGTGAAAAAGGTATTAGAGGAACCCCAACAGGGGCCACGGAGGAGAAGGCGGAAGCCTGCGGTGGGTGTGTATCTGTGCGCTCGTGTGCACACTGGGACTGCAGCTGCTCTGTAACACTCTTTTGGGGCCTCTGGCTAAACACGAGGGGAGGGGATCCCATATTCTGGGCAGATGCGGGAAGCAGCTTGTGGGACAGGGAAGTAGGTTGAATGCTGTCCCCCCAAAATTGGCATAGACCAGGGATTCCCACCATGACCTTATTTGGGAAGAGGGTCTTTGCAGATGTAATTAGTTCATTAAGGCTGAACTGAATTAGGCTGCTGTCTTTATAAGAGATGGGAGAGGGAGGTTCTGACACGGAGACAGGGAGAAGCCGCCGGACAGCAGGGGCGGAGACTGGACGGATGGGTCTGCAGGTGGGGGTAACAGGATTGCTGGCAACCACCAAAAACTAGGAGAGAGGCAGAAGCAGACTCTCTCCCGGAGCTGCAGAAGGAGTCAACCCCACTGACATCTTTATCTTGAACTTTTTTTAGGGGAAGCACCCAGCATGGCAAGTGGGATCTTAGTTCCCCAGCCAGGGAGCGAACCCATACCCCTGCAGCCGAAGCACGGAGTGTTAACTGCTGGACCACTGGGGAAGTCCCCCTGTGGGGGACATCTAGAATCAGACTCTGGTCTCCTGCACTGTGACAGAATACATTTCTGTTGCTTTGAGCCATAGAAACTTGCAGTCATCTGTTATCACCGCCACAGGAAACCCCGACCTAATCTGAAAGGGGTGAGCAAACGCAAGAACACACACAGTGACCTGGCAGCTGATGCTGTGACATCTCCATCAGTCACCAGCTTCATGTCCTCAGGCAAGTGACTCAGCCTCCGAGCCCCGGTCTTTCTATGTCACAGACATGTGCCCTGGGGTCCATCACCCATGTCCACATGAGGGCCTGGTGCATAGTGAAGCTGCTCAGAACACATTAGCCAAGTCTCTCCCTTAGCTCCCCCCACTCAGCACAGTGGACGCTGTCCCTCCTTCTCTGCTGCCCATGAAGAAGGGAAGGAGCCCAGGTTTGGGGTGGGAGAGAGCTGAGCCGCTTACTGGCTCTGTGGTCTTGGATCAGATATGCATTCCCCGACCCCAGGCCTCAGGACTTCACCAAGAAAATGAAGAAAAACCTCCCTCATATAGTCTGCAGTGACCTGAAAATTTGCATCCCCCCAAATCCATATGTTGAAGCCCTAAACACCGGCTGCCCACACCCGCTTCCCCCTCAGTGTGATGGTATTTGGAGGCAGAACCTTTGGAAGGTGATCAGGTTAAGATGGGGGCTTCCCCAGAGGCTCAGTGGGTAAAGAATCCACCTGCAAGGCAGGAGACATGGGTTTGATCCCTGGGTCGGGAAGATCCCCGGGAGGAGGGCATGGCAACCCACTCCAGTATTCTTGCCTGAAGAATCCCAGGGAGAGAGGAGCCTGGCGGGTTACAGTCCACGGGGTTGCATAGAGTCGGACACGACTGAGCGACTGAGCGTGTATACATGCAGGTCAAGGTGAGGTCATGAGGGTGAGGTCATGATGGGACTGGTGGCCCCATAACATGGAGGAGAGATGCCGGAGCACGCTCTCCCTGCCCACAAGAGGAGGTGGCCACCTGCAAGCCAGGAAGCTGGTCCTCACCAGGAGCCAAATCTGCTGGTACCTTGGTCGTGGGCTTTCCAGTGTCCCAAAGTGTGAGAAGTAAATGTCTGTCCGTCAGGCCAGCCCCTCTGTGGTATATTGTATGGAGGATGAATTGACAAGAGACAGCGGGGCACTCTCTAGGATGGAGAGAAATGGATGGATTTGAGACAGCGGGGAAGTGGGATGGAGAGGATTTACCTACTCTTAGGTAAGATATGGACAAATGAGGAAAGTGGGGACTCTGGCAACTGGATGGAGTGGCCTGACTTACTCAGAAGGTGAACAAGGTGCAAGTTTGGGGTAATACGAATGCGACTGTCTACTGAACATCCAAGTAGAGAGGGCCAGGAATGAATTGGATTTGCAAATCTACTGCCAAGAGTAAGAGATGGCTTGGAGCCAGACCAGGAAGGAGTCCCCATGTGCACACATCATCCACTCCTGGGAAGATATGAGGATGGAGTGCGGTTCCTGCCTGTGGCCACAAGATGGCACTATCACCCAGGACTGCTTGATGGTGGGGGAGTCCTGATTACTGAGGCTTCCCTGGTGGCTCAATGGTAAAGAATACACCTGCCAATGCAGCGGACACGGGTTCGATCCCTGAGTGGGGAAGAGCCCCCTGGAGAAGAAAATGGAAACCCACTCCAGTATTCTTGCCTGGGAAACCCCATAGACAGTGGAGGCTACAGTCTATGGGGTCGCAAAGAATCAGACACAATGACTAAACAACAGCTTGATTCACTACATGCCAACTGCTACTCTATATTGTCTAATCATGCATTTTAAAAGGATACTTCTGAACCCAGTAATCCCAACTTAGTGTTCACCTATCTATATAAAAACCTTTCACCTCCTTTGCCATTTGGAAAATAAGATTAAATACTATGGAAACAGAACTGGAGTCAAAAGGCTTGGGTTCAAAACCTGATTCTGCCACTAAACAGCTGTGTTCAAGATACATTTCTGAGCCTCAGTTTTATGGTACTCAAAATAGGAATAACAATAGCCACACAAAATAATTGTGAGAAGATAACGTACCTGAAAGATAACTTATGTGATGGGCTCTCAAATAAGATTGGCTTTAAGAAAATACTACTACTCCTAGGTAGTATTACTCCCTACAGATACTTTAATCAGACTGAGATTATATATTATTAAATGTGGCTCATGGGCCACCAGTTAACACTTAGAATTCTCAAACCTCAACTCCTTCCTGGTCAAACCTCACTGCTGTCCCCCACCTGCCTCCCCAGCACCGTGAATCCGTGAATTCCTCTCTTAGGTAGGGATTTCAGCAGAGTTAATGGTCTCCTTCCTCTTCAACACTCCCCACACCCACCTCACCCCTGCTCACTTCTGTATTAGCATAGCAGGTATTTGCAAAGCGTTGGTTCAAACTGGATTCAGTCTTTAAATTTGGGGGGTTGTACTGATGTTTGACTTGTGTAAATGAAACTATTGATACCAAAAGTTAAATTTAACTCCAGTGGATTAAAAAACTTCCTCCAGATCACAGCTACGTAAAGTTGGCTTTGTGGATAGGGAAATATTTGGTTTAAGGTATTTGGCTGATTTTTTTTTTTTTTAACCAGGTAAGATCAAACACCTAGTGAGTGAAGAATGACTTGCTGGAGGAATACAATAAAGGGAAATGAAGAAGAGAGAAGCTTGAAAAAAAATCCAGGGAAACATACTTGGGCCCCAAAAGAAGTGGCATAACTTGTGGAAGCTTTGAGACAATTATAGGGAGTGTGTGTGTGCTCAGGTGCTCAGACTCATGTCGGACTTTTTTGCCAACCCACGGACTGTAGCCCCTTGTGGCTCAGACAGTAAACAGTCTGCCAGCAATGCAGGAGACCCAGGTTCAATCCCTGGGTTGGGAAGATCCCCTGGAGAAGGAAATGGCAACCCACTCCAGTAACCTTGCCTGGAAAATCCCATGGATGGAGGAGGAGTCTGGTGGGCTAGAGTCCATGTGGTCGCAGAGTCTGACACGACTGAGCGACTTCACTTTCACTTGCATGGACTGTAGACCTCCAGGCTCCTCTGTCCATGGGATTTCCCAGGCAAGAATAGTGGAGTGGGGTGCCATTTCCTTCTCCAGGGCATCTTCTCCAACCAGGGATGGAACCCGAGTCTCTACTGGGAAAGGCCTCACACGTGCCACTGAGAGCAATGCCCGGAAAGGCCACTAGATGGCGGTAATACTCCAGGGATCGCTCCAGGTCCCCCCCTACCCTGGTGACTACCGCTTTCTTTGTTCACGAACATCCTTCTCTAGCCAGTGTCACCAAAGATGCCATCGTGAATTTCTGTCACGCCATGCCCCGAGTCCCCTAGTCAGCCACTTTTCCACCATCTGCCCTAACATCAAAGTAAGCTCTACTGACTTTACTGTTCTGTGTTACATTCTTAAAGATCACGTTATGGTCTCTGTGCTCGATTGTAAAGCAGCTGAATCAAACGTTTTAGCAAGAAATAAACAAGCCAATAAGCCAACGAAAATCCAGGTGTGGTTGATTCTTTTTCTTTTTGTGAGTTAATACTCAGAGGGTCACCAGGCCTGGGGGTGACCAGAGACAAAAGTGCCCACTTGAGATAAAAATAAATCTTTAGCAATTATCCTCCAATTGAAATTTTTTTTAAAAAAAAGGTAACTGTAAACTGGGGAAAGGGGCTGCCAGCCCCTTTAAAGTGGGACCAGAGGAGGAGGCTGAGCTCCGCTCCAGAGAGAGCAGAGGACGAGAACCCAAATACCATATTTAAAAACATTTTTTTATTCTGGAAAAATGTCCACAGTGTAAAAATACGGCAGATCCAGATAGCATTTAAGGAGAATCTGGAAGTATAAACCAGGACCAGAGGCTTGAGGAAGATGTAAATTTCAAATTTGTTCAACTCTTACGGTGTAAGTTTTCCCTCGTGATGGAAAGTCCTCACAGGAGAAGGGGGCTGGGATTGGTCTTGGAGGGCAGTCAGGAATGCTGAGCTATGGAGACCTCAATTTCACCACCAGAAAGGAGGTGAATCCTGGCTTCATGTCATGTCGCACATTCTCTACCTGGATGGCTTCTCGGGACATCTGAATACCCAAGTAATTCTCTGTATGGCCATTTTCCTAGGGAGAAGACCCACTGCTTATAGCAGATTATCAAAGACCTCAGTGGCCACCCCTCATCCCCTCATCCTGGCCAGAAAAAAATGTCTACGACCACGGCAGCACTGCTGATACTGCTGACCACTCAATCTTTCTCTTCTCATAGTCACATTATTCTTATAAATAGGATTGCCTATGAATCCCTTAATTTAAAAACAATGGTCACAGGAAATTAAGAAAAACAGATATACAGAATTTTCCTGCTAAATTCATTTACTATTTTATATTGTTATATGACCTTCCTTCCAGTGACTGGATGCACTGCAGCTTAAATGAAATGTTTTCTGCATTTGAGATTTTATATCCATCTGACATAACTACAGACCTTTCAATAAACTGCCTCTAGGTACTTTTATACTGGAAATATGTAAGTGTATTAATTTCACAGCTCTAAGAAGAAACCAATGATTAACTAGCAAGTTTAATTAGTATTAAATATACTCATTTTAAGTATGATTAATAAGAATGATACCCAAATTCATTAATAAATGAGTTTGAGCAAATGTACCTTCAGTTCAGTCAGTNAATGTATTTCTCATAGCAGCTGTTGCAGAAATCATTTTGGAAATAAACAAACATATACCTATTCATTCACAGAAAAATGCCCCCTAGGGCTTTAATATCAAACATAGCCATCACAGTCAATTCACAAAAAGAGCATAAAGTGCACAAGCTCCATTTCAAAAGGCCTTCAGTTACTCCCAATGTAACAGAGTTTAAATGCTACCACAGCCAGTGGGCCCGCTACCCTTCTGCAGAACACCATATATAAAGTACAGAACAGGGTATATACCTGAAAATATGTATCTATTTGCTCTAATTACATACTGTGGTTACAAAATCCTCTCAGAACTGGTTTAACAAACAGGGAAAGCTACGATTCAAACAAGGAGTTCTTTGAAGTAGGGGCCATTAAAAAATCTGTAGGAAAATGATGTCTACAAAATCCATCGAGAATCCCAACCTAGCCCAAGACTTCTCTTTGACCAGCTGGATCAGCAGCAACCAGGCAAAGAGCTGACTATTAGGGGTTCCAGGTTCATTTGGGAACCAGGAGCTCTGAGGGAGGCTGTAGCCAGGCGAGCTCACCTGTCCCCCAGGCAGATGGTTCCACATCGGCCCCGAGCGATGAACAGTCAGGGGAGGCTCACCCCTCAGTTCTGAAGCCTCCAGAATGGCGCCAGCTCACGTAAGCATAATGAATGAGAAGTTTTTACATACCTGAGAAGTCCAATAAATAGCATAGGTGATGGTGTTTTTACAGATCCTGTGCTTGATGACCATCATGCTTAGTCTCCCAAAAGGACATCTCTGATCCACAAGGAATGTCTTCCAGGCATTCTTCGGGGGGACAGGCGCAGAGCACCCCCCAAGCGTAGCCTATTACCAAACAGATGCAGGCATCTTATCCCCAGACACCCACAATGTAGTCACTGAAGTGCTGGTTTTACATTAAAATAATAAAAGGAGGAAACATTTTCTAAAAATCAGACACTATAAAATAAGAATCATTAACTTAAATGATCACTTGTTACATTAATATTTTGTTTTTTAATATTCCAAATCCAGTTCCTGCTGGGTGTCAATCTTAGGCAAATCCTCACCAGAAGAAATATCTAATAGCCATGCTGAGTAACTGTCATGACCTAACTCCTAACTGTCAAATCTCCACCTCCTTGAATGACCAGGGGGGATAAAAAGATTCTTGATTGCACATCAAGGAATGAAATAAGCTATTCACTCTTTACATCAAAACCTGTACAACTATATATTTAACAGCTATTTTCTAGGACTCGTCCATCTAAGTGCAGAAGCATATCAAAAAGTAGAATTCATTATTTCTTAGGGCCCATTGATGTTAGGCTTAACTAAAAAGAGAAGACTTAGTAGTAAGTCTTACAATCCAGTGATGAACACTCAAGAATATAGCTAACTCTCAAATATCCCAAAACCTGTTCTTCAGGAAAAATATGACTGGCATTTATATTCTATTCAAGGTACAAAATCAACTGTCAGCTCTAAAAGGCATCTATTTACAACTGTATTAGGGAAAAAAAGATAAGAAGGAAATATGCCAAAATATATTAACAGTGGTTGTCCTTGAGCCATAGAAATAGATTACTTTGTTTTCTTCTCGTTAACTTTTCTGTGATATCCCCATTTTCCTTAAAAAGCATGTAGTGCTATAAGAGTATTATGACTATAAATGTAAATATAAATATGAATGATGCCATAATCCAAACAAAGTAAGATTGGCATATTCCTACTCTCTTGATTTACCATCCCACACTGGTAAACATAAGTGATTTCTGTTCAGACAGAGTGAAGACTTGTCTTCCTCAAATACACCCTATTTCACACTTTTTCTCAGCCTCATACCATTAAAATCAACCTCTAGAAGGGGGCTAGTGGCAAAGAACCCTCCTGCCAATGCAGGAGATATAAGAGACTCAGCTTTGATCCCTGGGTCGGGAAGATCCCCTGGAGGAGGGCATGGCATCCCACTGCAGTATTCTCACCTGGAGAATCCCATGGACAGAGGAGCCTGGCAGGCTGCAGTCCGTGGGGCCGCCAAGAGTCAGACACGACTGGACTGAGCACTCATGCATGTGCTAGAAGGGCGTTTTGTTTTTCCTAACAAAAGCATTCTTTCTGAAACTTAGTCATTTGTCATGCAGAAGAAGAGAAATAGCCCTGTAAGTCAGGGCACTTACTTCTTTACTTCTAGCAGAGTCGCATTTCATACCCATTTCCAAGGTCATTCAGAACCTTCCAGGTGGGCAAAGCCTTTGGGGCTGGAGGTGGTGGTTTCCAAGGAACATGCCCTTCATTCCATCAGGAGGAATGGTCCCTCCCTGATGGCTGGGACAGTGCTCCCATCACTGAGGGACTTTCAAGACAGAAGCTAAACCTCACACACACAAATCATTACCTACACTCTGCTTCTTACTTTTCCCCATTAAAAGAGCTGGGCTTAAAATACAACCAGCTCCCTCCTCAGAGCATTTTTCTCCTTCAGCATGGATGAGACAGTCTGAAAAGAGGATGGTCTGACAGCTCCCTTTAAAGAAAACTCTAGTCTTGAAACCCAAAGGATTTAAAGAGCAGTTTTCCAATACTGTTTCACAAGCCACCTAGGTCTCATATTCATATGTTAACGATTCCATGAGTATTTAACTCAAATACTGATTTTTAAACTACAATAAAGCAACATGGACACTCATTCCATACCAAAACTTTCTAACCTGGAAACCACCAATTTGTTACTTTGCATTTCATTGCCTTTCATATTATTCAGGAAATGCTGCAAGCTTAACCTCAAAATAAAATTAAGCTAATAAAATACAACTTATTTCACACATTAGGTCTCCATAAAGACGCCTTACTGCCAACAGGGTTCTTCTGCTAAAATCATTTGAAAACCACAGAAGTAGAATAAAGTCATTCATTTCTAAATTCAGTTGCTCCTTGGACTTTTCACCTTTTGATCTTGTGCAAGTTCTAACGAGAGTCTGAGTGCCCAGACAAGCCAAAATTGCTACGGCCCCATTCTTAAACACGGAGGACACTGACATGCTTCCTACCCACATGAGAAGAACACATCTGTTCTGCCCGCTCCCGTGATGGAATGTTGCAAAGCAAGAGATGCCTGAGTTAACACGAGTATCCCTGAGGTCATGAATCCCCACCTCGCACCTTGAAGATACCTGTGGGGTCTTCCATTCAGCCCAGTGAAGAGGAGATGGGTTGCAGCCAGTGTGACTTTAGGTGAGAAGAACTCAGAGGGCAAGAGGTTTGCCCTGCTGCACCCAAAGGAGCCAGTGAATAATTACAGCCAGCACTTAAGGAAAGCAAGTGGTCAAATGACTGGAGAAGCTGCAGGAAGCACCTCATCCTGTGAGAATACCGAGAGTAATTCCCACAGTAGATATCAAAGAAAGAAGAGGCAAGATTCTTGACGGTAATTTCCAGAACAGGACAGCAGACAAGAGGCTTCCAATGAGAACAACTTCTCAGACTTCACATTTGCTCCAAATTTTGAACCAGGATCCCTACCGCGATTGTCACGGGCCTTTGGGAAGGTCACAGAGGTCAAGCACTAAGAGGGGAGGAGTCTGTGTATGGAACACTCACACCGCAGCTATTCTTCTTTGTATTTGAGGATACTGGGCTGGGGCGGGGTTGGGGAGGCAAACCATGTCAGCGTTTAAAAACTGTGCTCATCTTCCAGAATGGCTTAAAGTGGAGTGTGGTTTTTTGGCATAGAGGGTTTTGCACGTGAGCTTCACCCGGATCTGTAGTCAAGTCTCCATCTCTCAGCAGAGGTAGCAGGAAGGGGGTTCACACGTGTATGTAAACCTTGGGTTATGGAGCTCTGCAGGGGGAAGCCAGCCTCCGAGGGCACAAGCCCTGTGTGTTCTCCATTTGTCTGCTTCTGATTTAGGACGGTGGCCTGAGATGAAGAGCTCTGGCTTCTTCCATTCGAGGGAGGGTCTCATCTGATGCAGGATGTGTCTGTCACAGCAGGGTCGGCTCCTGGAACACATGGGGACAGCTGGGCCCCGAAGCAAGGCATGTGCGGCAAGGGGTCCTCCACTGGACGGCTCTGCCATCAGCACAAAGGACGCAGCCCAACGTGCAGCCAGAGGTGACACAGAGCACACACCCAGAGTCCTTGGCCACCTGCTTCCCAGCTCTGGGCAAGCATTTCTCGCCCCCAGGCACTGTGGAGTCCTGGCGGTCCACAGACACTCTAGTTAGGTCCCAAGGGAATAGAATTTTAAAAAGACAGACCCCACTCCCAACTCTGCGAATGCCCCACCCTGGCTGGCTGCGCGGGCAGGTGAAGGTTAGGGGGCAGAGAGGCCAGTCACCGCCTTGCCATTCATGTGATCTTCACCGAGGATTTCTTGTTGGCGCACAGAAGGGACACGTAGGGGACGCCGATGAAGGCCCAGCGCTCGCTGGGCCAGAACTTGATGACGGGGCCTTGCTCGGGGATCTCGGACGCAGCATCGAAGTAGGCAAAGCACACGCAGCCCAGGTAGGCAGCAAGGCAAATGAGGATGTGCCTGGCGAAGGAGACAGACGCGTGAGGGCCCGAGACAGGGGGACTGGGCCGGACTTCCACCCCGCTCCCTCCAGGCTAACCCCTTTCCCAGGTGCAAAGGCTGGCAGGGGCCTCCTCTAGTTAAGAAGGGGTGAGGGAGCCCCACACCCCCGGAATAGCACACAAGTGATAAATTCTGAGCTAACAAAGCCTCTCTTGAAATGTTCTAAAACATTCCAGCCTAATAACAGGAAAAACTTGCCAGCCAACAGGGTTCTTCTGCTAAAATCATTTGAAAACCACAGAAGTAGAATAAAGTCATTCATTTCTAAATTCAGTTGCTCCTTGGACTTTTCACCTTTTGATCTTGTGCAAGTTCTAACGAGAGTCTGAGTGCCCAGACAAGCCAAAATTGCTACGGCCCCATTCTTAAACACGGAGGACACTGACATGCTTCCTACCCACATGAGAAGAACACATCTGTTCTGCCCGCTCCCGTGATGGAATGTTGCAAAGCAAGAGATGCCTGAGTTAACACGAGTATCCCTGAGGTCATGAATCCCCACCTCGCACCTTGAAGATACCTGTGGGGTCTTCCATTCAGCCCAGTGAAGAGGAGATGGGTTGCAGCCAGTGTGACTTTAGGTGAGAAGAACTCAGAGGGCAAGAGCTTTGCCCTGCTGCACCCAAAGCAGCCAGTGAATAATTACAGCCAGCACTTAAGGAAAGCAAGTGGTCAAATGACTGGAGAAGCTGCAGGAAGCACCTCATCCTGTGAGAATACCGAGAGTAATTCCCACAGTAGATATCAAAGAAAGAAGAGGCAAGATTCTTGACGGTAATTTCCAGAACAGGACAGCAGACAAGAGGCTTCCAATGAGAACTACTTCTCAGACTTCACATTTGCTCCAAATTTTGAACCAGGATCCCTACCGCGATTGTCACGGGCCTTTGGGAAGGTCACAGAGGTCAAGCACTAAGAGGGGAGGAGTCTGTGTATGGAACACTCACACCGCAGCTATTCTTCTTTGTATTTGAGGATACTGGGCTGGGGCGGGGTTGGGGAGGCAAACCATGTCAGCGTTTAAAAACTGTGCTCATCTTCCAGAATGGCTTAAAGTGGAGTGTGGTTTTTTGGCATAGAGGGTTTTGCACGTGAGCTTCACCCGGATCTGTAGTCAAGTCTCCATCTCTCAGCAGAGGTAGCAGGAAGGGGGTTCACACGTGTATGTAAACCTTGGGTTATGGAGCTCTGCAGGGGGAAGCCAGCCTCCGAGGGCACAAGCCCTGTGTGTTCTCCATTTGTCTGCTTCTGATTTAGGACGGTGGCCTGAGATGAAAAGCTCTGACTTCTTCCATTCGACGGAGGGTCTCATCTGATGCAGGATGTGTCTGTCACAGCAGGGTCGGCTCCTGGAACACATGGGGACAGCTGGGCCCCGAAGCAAGGCATGTGCGGCAAGGGGTCCTCCACTGGACGGCTCTGCCATCAGCACAAAGGACGCAGCCCAACGTGCAGCCGGAGGTGACACAGAGCACACACCCAGAGTCCTTGGCCACCTGCTTCCCAGCTCTGGGCAAGCATTTCTCGCCCCCAGGCACTGTGGAGTCCTGGCGGTCCACAGACACTCTAGTTAGGTCCCAAGGGAATAGAATTTTAAAAAGACAGACCCCACTCCCAACTCTGCGAATGCCCCACCCTGGCTGGCTGCGCGGGCAGGTGAAGGTTAGGGGGCAGAGAGGCCAGTCACCGCCTTGCCATTCATGTGATCTTCACCGAGGATTTCTTGTTGGCGCACAGAAGGGACACGTAGGGGACGCCGATGAAGGCCCAGCGCTCGCTGGGCCAGAACTTGATGACGGGGCCTTGCTCGGGGATCTCGGACGCAGCATCGAAGTAGGCAAAGCACACGCAGCCCAGGTAGGCAGCAAGGCAAATGAGGATGTGCCTGGCGAAGGAGACAGACGCGTGAGGGCCCGAGACAGGGGGACTGGGCCGGACTTCCACCCCGCTCCCTCCAGGCTAACCCCTTTCCCAGGTGCAAAGGCTGGCAGGGGCCTCCTCTAGTTAAGAAGGGGTGAGGGAGCCCCACACCCCCGGAATAGCACACAAGTGATAAATTCTGAGCTAACAAAGCCTCTCTTGAAATGTTCTAAAACATTCCAGCCTAATAACAGGAAAAACTTGCCGATGCCTTTGGGGCTCCACAGAAAACAAGGGTTTAAGACAGAAGCACTAATATGATATCGCTTATATGCAAAACATAGAAAAAAGAAAAGGATATAGGGACTTCTCGGGCGCACCAGTGGTTAAGCCTCTGTGGTTCTACTGTAGGGGACGAGGGTTCGATCCCTGGTTGGGGAACTAAGATCCCACAGGCCACAGGGCATGGCCCAAAAGAAAGAAAAGAGATAAAAAGGATACAAATGAACTTATTCACAAAACAGAAACTGATTCACAAGCTCTGAGAATGAATTTATGGTTGGGGGCGGGGAGGGGGGGGAAGGATCGATTGGGAGTTTGAGATTGACATGTAAATAAATAAACAAATTTAATTAAAATAAAAAAGAAAACAGAGGCATTGAGAGAATGGAAATAACTGAGCACAGGGGACCGATTCCCTGCTTCTCACTTTAATAATGGGCTGCACATATCTAACACCCTTCATTAGAAATAATTTACACTGATTCATCAGCTTTTGCACTTTAGTAAGGAAACTCTTTATTTATCTTCACTGTGCTGGTAGAAAGTTTTCATATTGATCTTTATCATGGGGACCATTTAAAGGCATGTAACTTTTACACCTTATACTGAAACTTAAAACTCCAGGTAAATTAAAGATTTTAAATACATTTAAAAAACATATTTAAAAGAATAGTTTTATAAATATTAGTTTATAATATTCTTTTAAAAATAAAAGAATATTTTTATAAACCTTGGAAGAGGTCTTTCTTAAAATGACACAAAGTTCTGAAACCCTAGAGGGGATCACTGTGGCAGCCACATGCAATGGACGTCTCTACATTTAAAAACACATGGAACAGGGAACCCCCCCTGGTGGTCCAGTGGTGAAGAAGCCACCATCCAGGGCAGGGGACGCAGGTTCAATCCCTGGTCGGGGAACTAAGATCTCCCATGCCACGGGGCAACTAAGCCCGAGCGCGGCAACTACGGAGCCCACGCTCTAGAACCACGAACAGCAACCGGAGAGAAGCCCGTGAACTACAAGAAGAGTCCACGGCTGCCACTAAGACCCAACACAGCCAAACATATAAACATCACACACACCCGGAATAAAGAAGGTTGTAAGAGAACTACCAGCTTGCTCAGTTGAGAACAGTGTCATTTAAGGGATGTAATTACAGCCACTCTGTAATGCATGCAGAAGGGAGAAGGGAAAAAAAAACTAAAGGAAAAGACTGACAGAGGTGAAAGCATGAAAGTTTAAAACAGTATGGCACAAGATATCACTAACATACTAAAAGATAAATGGGAAAGTGGCGGGGGAGCGGGGAATAGTTGTACCATATGCCAAAGAATTAAAATCCCTACCTGATGAAGAGCCCTAAAAACCAACCATTTCACAGGGTGTCTGGGATTTGCTTTATAATAATCTGGGTGGGGTGGGCAGTGGGTGAGGGTGGCAAGGATGAGACTGGCCTCTTGTAGATTAATACAGAAGCTAACTGTTGCCTTCCTGGGGGCTCCATGTATTACTCTCTATACTTCTGAAAATGTTACCAATGTGCATAATAAATGGCACATAGGTATTTGACAGTAATGACTCTCTACTATGTGTCGCGAAGTACGGGCTGGATATAAATTTTTAAATACGAACACTCCAAAGAGATGATAAAGAAACTTAAAAGGCACATTTCAAAAGAGAAAAGATATAGTAAATTGACATTTGAAAGATGTCCAACAAAATACTAACTTTTTAAAAGATATGAAAATAAAATTTTCTCAATCAGGTTAACAAATACTTTTTAAAGTTACTAACATCCAGTATATATGAAAGTATATCTTACAGATACACTTTTATTATCTTACAGATTTTAGTAAAATTGTGTCAGTTGGTATCTCTGGGTTTGGCAACATATTATAACCTAAGGGAACATTCAGTCATATGAACAAATACAGATATTCATTACCAATTGTTTGTAAAAGTGAAAAGTTAGAAATAACCTTAATATCCATTTGACAGAGAAGTTGGTTAAATGAATTACATAGCATTACCCATATTGTGAGGTATTAACTGGACACACAGCTGATGGAAATAATATAAATACATTGGTAAGGAAAGTTGTCCATGATTTAAACAGCAAAAGAAGAACCAGCTTGCATCATGTATAGAATGAAGCTATTTTTGTTTTTAAAAGTAGAATTAGAGAACTAAACATCTGGAAAGATATACTTTAGGTTGTTAACAATTGTTCTCTTTGGACAGAATTAGAATTGTAAAAGCCTTTCTTTCTATACTTCCCTGTTGTTTAAATTTGTTGTAATAAATAAATATATCACTATAACTGGAACCAAAAAAAAAAAAAAGTTTCAACTTTGGTTTGGTTTTTGGCCACACTACACAGCATTTGAGTTCTTAGTTCCCCAAATAGGGATCAAAGTTGCACCCCCTGCCACAGAAGCTGGAAATGTTAACCACTGGACCATCAGGGAAATCCCAGAAAATTGTTCAACTTTGGGGGGGAACCTCAAAGTATACCAAATTTAGAAACAAATTAAGTTTGAACCAAAGGTACTACACTCTACTTTTAATTTTACTTAAATCACTCTGTGATAAAGGAACTTGGATCAATTAAAAACACACCAGAGACTTCCCTGGTGGTCCACGGGTTAAGACCAAGCTTCCACTGCAGGGGACACAGGTTCAATCCCTAGACAGGGAACTAAGATCTCACATGCTGCACGTGGAGCAGCCAAAAGACAAAATAAAAATTCTTAAAGAAAGTACTATATTTTGAATGAGATCCTCTTTACACAGGTGGATACATTTATCAAAACCTACCAGACTACACAAAATCTGTGCATTTAATAATCTGTAAATTATAACTCAGATATACAAAGTGTATATAAATTCACTAATGTGAGTCGAGGTTGAACCTAAGATATATCAGGCAATGGATCCTAAGACTGGAATCCCCAGCATGAGCTGCTTTGCTTTGCCTTCAGCGAACAAATCTGGAAGTCCCCAAGTCTTAACCTGAGAGCAGCTTAGGTCTCATGGTAGATAATACACAAGTTCAAACATCCCAGGGAATTCAAGAGAATCCTTTCAAATCGAATAATCTTAGGCATCTCCTGATAGAGGTCAGCCTCCTTCCAAATCTGGATCTAACAAGTTTTAACAACTCCTTACCACTAGAATTCCTCCCTGGGTTGTCAACTTACAAGGAGCACTCTAAAGATTTCTCTTGTCCCTTGATATCTCACAATCAGAAGTCCTGGAGGACAGAGACGGAAAGATGATGCTAGGTTTGGAGTTGAAGCAGTTCCCAGGAAGAAAACCACCCCATTTCCTCCTCTGCTTTCTGGGGACAGGATACTGCATGCTGTTTCATAATCTTTTTCTTAACCTAACAGTGCATCCTGAGCCTTCTATAGATGCTTGATCATGTTCCCCATGATTAAGCTTCTGGGCTGGTTTTATGTAACCAGCTGGGCGATCCTTAACAATTCACTCTTATTTCTCTGGACTTGTGTCTCCACCTGTCAAATGAATGGGTAAGACTGTCCCCAGGTGACCTGTGAGGCCCAGGCTGGTCACTCAGGCTCAGGAGTGCTTGGTTCTGATTTGGGACTGTCCTGTCCCCACGTCACATCTGTCCCCAGCCTTCCCCACATTCCCCTACCCTGCAGATCTAGCTAGAGCTCAGGTTACAGCTTCGATCTCCAAGCTCCTTTCCGCTTTGATAACGGAGCTAGAGGTAAGAGACAGCACAGACAGGAAGCACAGGCAATTAGGTCTGTCTGTTCTGGCTCAGCCTGCTCCCTGAAACGTCCGACAGTCTACGTAGGGAGAGCAGAGTGATGGCAGAGAGTGCAGACCCTGCCTCGCCAGCCCCTGCCCCCGACGATGCGGCTCACCATACACAGTGCAGGTAGGGGAAGTGGACGGACGACAGCAGCTCACAGAAGGCCCGGTCAGTGATCCAGCAGAAGAGGGCGAGGGTCCACCAGAGGCCGGAGAAGAGGCCCAGCTTAAAAACACGCACATTGTCACACCTGCCAGAGACGCAGAGAACAGCGTGTGTCAGCCCTGGTCTCCTTCTAACGCATCGGCCACTTCTCTGCCCCCTCACACCTCCCCAGCCTCCAGCCCTAACCCTCCCTGGCCCCTTGGCACCAGGGCTCCCACCCAATGCCCCATCACACAGGCCCAAGGATGTAAACACTATATATACCCTGATGATTCACAAAGCCACACTCCTCACCCAGGCCTCTTCTTAACTCCGGACTTGCAAACCACATGTCACATTATGACACATCCACCCGGTGGCCAGTACTGATCTAGATTTCACATGTCTACAAAGAGCTCCTGATCCTTTCTTCTGTTCCATACCCGTTCTCCTCCCGGCCCTCTTGGGGAAGGGTGCTTTCAGGACCTCAGGCCAAGAATTCTGGAGTCATTGTTCTCTTTCTCACATACCCTACATCTAATTCATCAGCACGGTGATATATATTTCAAATCCAATCTCTTTCCATCACCACTGCCTGGGTCCAAGCCCTCTGAGTTATGGCAACCACCTCCATCTGCCCCTGTTCCTACAGTCACCTCTCAACACCCTGCCCAAGAGCCTCCCACGTCTTCCCTCTTCCCAGAGGGAAAGCCGAAGTGCTCACGGCCCCAGTGTGCTGGCTTCCCTCTGCCCTCCACCCAGTACTCCCTACCCTCCACCCAGTACTCCCTACCTGCCCCACACTGCCTCTGCTCATCAAACCCCCCAGCAATCTTTGCCTTTCCTCCAAAACCCCAGGCACGCTGCTCCAAGCCTCAGCACTGGCTGTTGTGCCTCCTGGAATGCTATTCCCAGATAGCCACGGGGCTCGCCACCTCCCAGATTTTGTTCAAATGTCCCTCAGTAAGCCCTTGGCTGAGCATTGTTCCTAACAATCGCACCACCTGTCTCCACTCCTAAGTGACCCCCAAGCTCCCCTCACCTTCTTCCCTCTAATTCTCTCTGTAGCAATGACAGCCTCGCCGATACCCTCTGTGCTTCATTTATGTACCTCCAGCCTGTCTCCCCTACCTGGGATGGTGTCAGGCTCAGGGAGGCTCTTGGTGCTCCTGAAAGAAAGAATGAGCTCTTCCACACCCTGGGGCAAAGGGTTTCTGAACAAACCCCAACAGCTGGAGGGGAACTTCAGCAGCCATTTTCCTTCCTTATTACCAAATTGCTCACAAAGAGGGTGACTTCTCCTGGGGAGAAATGCCCAGAGGCAGTTGGTGGCTGAGGGCCCTTCCACCCCTCCTTTGGGGTCTCTGTCCCTCAAAGGCCTGCACCCCAGTCAGTCAAGCTCATTCACTTGCAGGAGTCCGTGTCTAACATAAATATGACCCCTTCTTGGGTGCAGATGTTATCTGTTCATATTTGCTGAACAGGTTAATGGTGTCTAAAGTCTGACTTCTGGTACCTTTCCAAGCTGTCTGATGGAAACATCGGCAAAAGCATCAGTGAATATGGGATGGACAGCAGGCTCAGAAAGACCTGCTCAAAAAACAACCTGAAAAGCCCTGTCAGTCGGAGGGTTACATGTACCCCTTGAAAAGATTTTTGAAAAAATATATAGAGCCCCACGACATTAGTGACCGCTTTCCAGTTTAGTCACTAACACACAGATGAACAATTTCCATTTTCCCTTTCTCTCCAGCATATGAACAGGAATTAAAGGCATGGAGTAGATGAGAGGTTTTAGGGGAAAGTGTAGGGAGAGAAGAGCAGACGTGAGGGTGTACCTTATGGGTTCCCTGTATGGACAGGTGCATAGAAAAGAAGGCGCTCTCATGAGGGGCTGAAGAGGAGCTGCCGCAGAACTGGTTAAAAAAAAAAACAAAGGAGAATGTGATGTTATAGGAATCACAGGAAAGAATGTTCCAAGGTTGAGGGGGTGAATTGTGTAGAGAGCTGGGAAAACAAGTAAAATTCAGGAGGACTAAAAAGTGATCAGTGGACGTACAACCAAGAGGGGTTTGGGTATCAAAGTGCACACAGAAGTCAGGTTAGAGTAGCTTGAAGAATAAATGAGAGGAAACAGATGGAGACACCTTTTAAATAAGCATGGCTGTGACAGATGAGAGAGAAAGGGTGATGGCCGGAGACAGATGTAATAGAGGCTAGGATGGGTGTTAGAGACAATGGGAGAAATTCAACAAGCTAATGGGAAGGATCCTTTGGAGAGAGAGGGATGACATAGTAGACAATTTACAGGAGTAAAATAGGAAAAGGAAATGGAGGGGATAATCCATAAGTAGAAAGATGGACCCTAAAGATAGAAGGAGGAATACTTCCACAATGCTGCAAGTTTTTAAGGTCATGATGAAGACTAATTAGCAGTAATGATGACTGGCTTTTCAGGGGTAAAAAATTTCAAGTATAGAATAGAAATTATTTCCTTTGTATTTACTTAAAAAGATTAGAGTATTAAAGGAAAATGTTTCCCTGCTTAAAGATCACAATTGTGAAGGAAAATTCATTTATTCTGTAAAACCTGCCCCTTCATTTGCTCTTGTTTAGCTAATGTGAATTTAAAAGTTTCCCTTTCCTTAGCCAGTTTTGAACAAAATTATAGATTAAAACTAGGATGAGATGTTTGGATGGCATCACCAACTCGATGGACATGGGTTTGGGTAGACTCCGGGAGTTGGTGATGGACAGGGAGGCCTGGCGTGCTGCAGTTCACGGGGTCGCAAAGAGTCAGACACAACTGAGCGACTGAACTGAATTGATAGATTAAAACATATGAAACTCAGGAGTTAAAATGTAAACTAGATTGTAGTGAATTCTCAAGAAACATAGCTAAGTAGAGAACATTCTATTGACTTCAGGCCTAATATCAGCCAGCATCACTGGGCTACACAAATCCATTCAGATATCTTTATCGGCAATTTAATGGTTTTCCAAAGAGCTTTAAGCTCTGTTAGTGTTCTGAAATGGGTCTGTTCTTTCCCAGGTCCATGAAGGGTACTCAAAGCCAACAAGATAAGACAGGACAGTCCTTCCACTGCCAGCCAGCAAGTTTATATCCCCCTTCAACAACCAACTCTGACCTTGCCTGGTATTGCTGATAATCAAAACAATCCCCAGAGGCAAAGCAATGGTAGAAACCATATACATGTCTCCACTCAAAACAAAGAGTGAGAGAAAGCTGATTATACACTACACAGAGAAACTCTCACAAAGGGGGATAAATACAAGACTTCAATTAAGACCATCTGTGTCTATGACAATAAGCCATGAATTAGAGTGGATTTCTAAAAGTGGTACAGAGAAAAAGCATTTTCAAAGAGTATTACAATACGGGTAGTGATTTAGATGTGTTTTAGTTGGGGCTGAATAAGACAGTCTTAAACACACACAAGAGCTAAACAACTTTCCAGAAAAATCCAAACAAACTTTTTGGCCAGTCCAATAATGTGTCTGGGTATCGACCTGAACTCTGCACATAGACCTGACATAAGAAGATGTTTAGGCAAACAGAAAAAAGAAAATGTTTAGGCAAACAGTAAAAGGCTTTACTTGATAGGCTGTGAGAAAGAAACTAGGCCTCAGGGAAAGTAGCAAGGCTGCTTTGTATACAGGCATTCATTTCTTTTTCCTTCTCTGTATAAACGCAGGACTTTGCTTTTCTTCTTACTCTTGTCATGTCACACATATGAACTTGTGTTCATATCACATCTATTCTCCTTTTTGGGTTTCCCTGGTGGCTCAGTGGTAAAGAATCCACCCACAATGCAGGAAACATGGGTTCGATCCCTGGATTAGGAAGATGCCCCTGGAGAAGGAAATGGCAGCCCATTTCAGTATTCTTGCCGGGGAAATCCCATGGACAGAGGCGTGGGGTGGGCTATAGTCCTTGTGATTGACTTAGGGACTAACAAACGCAACACAACATTCTCCTTTCTGCAGGGTTAACTCTAGGCAGCTTGGTCTAGGCACCCGCCAGGTCCTGAGATGTTCCTCCTAAGCTAGTTTTTGGATCATTAGAATACATTGATTATACTCCTCCCTTCTTTCTGAAAACAAGATTAATATTTTGAACCAAACCATCCAACTTGATTCTAATCTACAAGTCAGGGATGACTCTTCGGGAGGGGTAACTCCTCTTCAAAGGCAGTAAAAGAACCAAGAACTGGTTTGTTCCTATCCCAAGGAAAGCCTGAGGGCCAGGGAGAAAGACTGGTACCCACCTCCTTAGCTCAGCAATGAGCAGCGCCATGCAGGGAACCCCCAGGGTCATCAGAGAGATGTTGTTGATGGCGGGCTTGACAAATGCCAGGCACGTTGTAACAGCAGACAGGACGCAGACCACCACCTTGAACCTGCCCCTTTGTGGGTGAAAGCAAACCAAATCCGTTAGCAAAAGGGGTCGTGTTTGTTTGTTGGATGTTGGCAAAGTACAGGCACTGATGCTGGGAGGGCAAGCTCAAAAGACATTTCACACAAAGGACCTGCAAACCATTCTCCCACACTAGCTGTTATTTTAGGAATTCAACCTTAGGAAACAATCAGAAATGTTCAAAATATTTAGCTATGAAAACAGTTAAATTATAATCAACCTGAGCCTTTAAGGATGAGATGTGAATACTTGATTATTTTTAGCAGTACTTTTCTGTATTTTTTTTTTCCAGGTGTTTTACAACATGTTTGGACAAATTCTTACTGCAAAGGGTCAGACAGTGAATATTTTAGGTTTTGCAGGTCATAGGTTCTCCGCCACAGCTACTCAACCCTGCCACTGTAGACGGTAAGTAAGCAAAGGGGTATGACTGTGCAACCATAACACTTAATCTGCAAAAAACACACAAGTCACCCATGTGGCCAAAGATGTAGTCTGCCCACCGCTCTTCTACAAGGTGAACATGTATGATTTTTATAAGAAAAACAGGTCATTTACAAACCATAAAGCAGCCTAGATCAAAAGAAAAAAATGCCCCATGTGCCTAGCACACAAGTCTAAAATCCTGATATCTGTATTGACTGACAACCAACAGCCTCTTTTTTTTTTTTCCATTTATTTTTATTAGTTGGAGGCTAATTACTTTACAACATTACAGTAGTTTTTGTCATACATTGAAATGAATTAGCCATGGATTTACATGTATTCCCCATCCCGGTCCCCCCTCCCACCTCCCTCTCCACCCGATCCCTCTGGGTCTT